AGAAAATCTTACTAAAAATTAAGTAGCTATAGGAAGACTTGAAGCTAATGTTCTTTGTTTTGAAGTAGTACATTACCAATGGTATGCACTTTATTTAGACCAGAGAAAAGAATGGATGCCTCAACATTGTAGCGTAAGAGGGTGACACAGGAAATTCAAATTTTCCTTTTTTCCATTTGAATCTGTTACATTGAATTGATGCAGAACTTGTAGAGGCCATTGTGTAGTTTTGTCTTTAGTTGACTTAATAATTAGGATATCATTAGTCCAGGTTACAATGTCTGACTGTTGAGAAAGTAGGGTATTTGGGTAGGAATAGAGACTTCCAAAAGCAATGGGAATTCCACATAGATCCTCTCATTTCTTTGTTTTTAGATTGGCTCCTGCATTTAACAACTCTTCCCCTCTGCCTGTTAGATGCATTCAAATTTTACATCTGAACTTGCTCAGTAGAGGAATGGGTTCCTATGTCCTCTTACTTTATATGTCTACCAATTTGCTTATTAGTTGTGCAGTTTCTTTGGGACTACTAATCCTTTAACCTCTCAAAGGATTTGACTCATTTCTTTCCTTAGGAATAATAAAACTTAGTCTCCTGTCAGAAAAGTCTTGGTTTTGGGCTTTTCCTTTTAAAACTATAGACTCTCACCAAAGCTACCCTCTTTCCCATCATTTCATGCAGAAGCAATTATTTTATTCCTCCTGAAACTTGTATTTTTGACAGGAGAAAAACCTCCATCATAAGGATTGGAAGCCCAATTCCATTCTTTTTATTTGAGCTTTTCCTGTGATAGAAAGCCTGCAATCTTTCGTTGTTGCTTTACTCACCTTGTTCGAAAATTAAGGCAATGAATGGAATGAGAAAGCAAGAAAAGTGTTTTGTAGTAAGTGCCTAGGGATCAGACTCAACAAACTTAGAATTCACTAGGGTGTTCTTTTTATATAGGACTCAGTATAGCAGTAACTATTTAATAATAATATTTATTGAGCCCCTCCTTTTTACTAGCAACTCTTCTAAGTACCTCACACTGACTCTCACTTCACCTAACAACTGCTTTGCTTCCACAGTCACTGAATGAAGCATTTTACATTTTGACTGTCCTTGGTCTTTATTTCTTCTACCTTGTATGTTCAACTAATCCCATTAGGACTGTTTTTTCACTTCATCAAACTTTGTTGTCAACATTCTATTCAGGATTACTTAGGTATTGTTCTCCAAGAAGATTGATTTTTCTCTCTGCAGCAAACCTCACTGGTTTCTGTGCTCTTACCAGAAATGCCATTAACTTCCATTCTTGTCAATGTAGATTTTCTTTTAATAACATGCCTGAAAACTTTTCTTCTGTTACCCAATTCTAAACATTCTTTTATATTTTCAGATACTACAATAGCACCGATAGCACCCCACTTTTCAGCACCAAGTCCATTTCAACTGCTAAAAAAGAATATATCACCTTACGTTGGGTGACATAAACATTATTTATTTCTCATTTTCCTTGAAGTTTATGGTCACGGCACTGGCAGGTCTGGTGTCTGGTGATGAATAACTTCCTGATTCATAGACAACTGTACTCTTATTCCTATCACATTGGAGTTAGGATTTCAACATATGAATTGTGGGGAACAAATTTTCAGTCTTTAACATAAAGTTGATTTAAAAAATTTTTATTTAAACTATGCTTACTAATTAAGCACTAGCAAAAATAACAAGGGACAAACACATCTTTAAAGAACTCATAATCTTTCCTTGTTCTTTGTAAGTGTATTTGGTGCTCTTTAGTTTCATTGTTTTCTGATGACTCAGTTGCTCATTCAGGCTTCACTTTCCTGTGATCATTGTCTAGTTATCTCTGCTAAAAATAAAAGGAAAAATATTTATTGGCAAAGGTAAATTTCTTCATATGATATAAAGGAAGAAATTTGTGAATATTACAAATTTGAAGACCTTTCCAAAATTTGAAGACCTTTCTTTACATTATGCTTGGCAGTACATTGTTACTTCATGTTATTTATCTACTCCCAACTCACCATTACCCTGAAAAATAACAAGCCATTAACTCATGTACCTTTACAGTTTTATCAGTGATTTTTTGAGACATCTCTCAGCTCAATCCTTTGTCTCTTACCCAGAGCTCTGTTGCAGACTCTTTTTATGTGGCTTGTAGTATGTTATTGTAATATGTAATATGCATATGTATAAAGTAAAATATAACTTTACTTTTGCTTGAAATGAAAAATAAATGGCTAAAGTAGATCATGTGATGTCTTCTTTTTTTAATTTATTGTTATTGAAGTATCACTGTCCTACATAATTGCCAGTGTTTGACAATATAGGATTTCCCCCCCTCAGATGTAATTAACACACTAGCCACTGAAGCTTCAGAGTCATTCATCAGAGTCTATGTATTTTCCCCACACCCCTCACCTTCATCTCCAAAAGCCACCCTTGGAATAAATTTTCAAGAGTCAGTTTTAAAGTTTTTCTTTGTTTGACCTTTGGTTTCTTTTTTTCTGTATTACACCTTTAAGTTACACCATCCAGTATTTATCTTCTCCTTTCTGATGTATTCAGTTAGCATAATTCCTTTCAGTTCCATCCATGATGCTGTAAATGGTATGCATTAATCTTTTTGATTGCTGAGTAATATTCTGTTGTATTTGTATACCACATCTTTTTGATGTGATATCTTCTTATTAACATTTATTATCAAATCAAACAAATTAAATAGAATAAAACCCTGTTACAATGTTTTTGAGATTCACTTATAGTCTCAACTCTTATAAGTGTGCAATAATTTGATTAAAGATTATTTATTAAATGCTTAATAGTCTCCAGATGTTATATTTAAATAGTAGGAGAATAAGGGGAAAATATAATCAACCTGCTATAGACCACCAGGACTGTTAAACAAAACTCTTTACGATGATGGAAATGATCTCTATTTGCATCACCTCACAGAACAGATGCTAATTACAGTTGGCTATTGAATGCTCTGGTATTGAACTATTAATTTAAAAAAATATTTATTTAAACATGCATAACTGGGGTATATGCAAGAGGCAGGGGCAGCGAGAGGATTCACCAGAGATAGAGCAGATTCACCAGAGAATAGGCAGATTGATGAAGTACACTGCTGAGGGAAGCAGTGGGAAGGTCAGGCCCTGCCATGCAGGTCACTTCCAGAGGTGGGGATCGAACTCGCACTGACACGTTTACAGGCAGCTTGCAGTGTGTAATTCAGTGGTTTCTAGTATATTCTTAATTGTGTAGCCTTTACCACAGTCATTACCTGATAAGAAATCTGGTAATTGTTAGTAGTCACTCCACAGCTTCCTAGCCCTAGTACAATAGTCCCAAGGTAGGGGACAGGTCACTGCCTGTGAGTTCTTATCTCTGTGCTCACAACTGCAAGATATCACTCAGGCTCCAGGTGCAAAAACATTGGTATTTATTAATAAAGGGGAGATTGGGAAGAAGGAAAAGGATTATAAAGCCATAGGTGATTGATTGTCTCAACAGAGACAGTGTCCACAGTGTCCAGTAGTTGGGAAAAAAAAAAAGGCTGCTTGTGAAAGATGACACTGTCCTTTTGATGAGAGCCTAGGATAAGGATAAAACTCATGGTGGCAGCTGGGAGGTGACATAGCAGCCTACAGCAGCTGTTTCAAGGCCAAGCTGGACAGCAGTGGAGGCAACGGCACTAGGAGAAAGTGCTGGACAACTCTCAGGTGACCTGACACTGGTCAGCAGTGATGGTCAGCATTGGTCACCAGGAGGCAGTGCCTGAGAACCAGTGTTACTCTCTTTGTGACTGTGGGAATACAGCCAGCAGCAAAGTGCTCTTTGACAGACACTGGATCCAAGCTGATGGTGCTCTTTTCAGGCTATATCAGAGATAGGGCTGGAGATAGGCAGTGTGGCCAGACCTCTGCAAAGGTCTGCAGATATCTGGAGGTCTGAAAGTATACAAAAGTCTACAAAGGTTTCAAAGTCCTGATAGTCTGCTGACTTTTTACTGTCTGCTGAATGCTTCTCTTATGAAGTCATCTCCTGAACCCTCTGAATCTGGCTGCTGAGGAATTGAAGCTGGCTGCTGCCCTGCTTATATCCTTTTTTAGGGTCCCTGCTTTACAAGCTTAATTGGATGTTTTCACTCCTAGCTGTCTCACTGTTACCATCACTGCATACACTGAGGCTACCTACCAAGCTCAGCTTCTTGAACCCCAAAGGGGTTGCTTGCACTGAGACAGCAAGGTGGGGAAATCTGCTCCCCACTGTCTCTGGTGAATCCTCTTATTCCCTGCACCTCTGGTCTATACCCCTGTTCTTGTATACATAAATAAATCTCAAAAAAATAGAAATAATTCCTTCTAAGGAAGATTGTTTTCTTCTTTCTTAGAGGCAGGAGAAAGTGAAGAAAATGTAGGTGAAGGTATAGAGAAATGCTTATATAAGAAGGAAAGAAGCTTAGACAACTCATTTACTTAACAGCTTTCTGATTGTAAAATTTGTTTCGTCCAGTCTTCATTATGATCAGCTGTGGAGAACCGAGTGTTGAAAAGTTCTCCACAGGAGCTAGGATTATGGGTTCTGGGAATGTCAAGTACTTATAGGTCTGTTCCAGTCAAAAGGGACATTGCAGGTTTATAAAGCCACGTGTGATTGAGAAAGCCTAATGTGTCAATTTTCACTTAACTAAAAAGGGAAAATGTCCCCCTAATTCATTTGTGAGATCTTCAAAGAAGTACTGCATCATCACCTGATTCATGATCTCACCCACCTTCCTACTTGGTATCCTCCTTCCTGCCCTATCTTTCTATGTAAATATAAGAGAAAAGTAATCTAGCTAATGATGATTTAATAATTGTGTGAGCTTTAGAGCAAGCTTTCTATGTGGTAAGTTTTAGTCAACCTTTGTGGTGTTCTCAACATATAACCTTATTTACTTATGCATGTATATATTTATTTATTTATTCATTGATTTATTTCTTTATTTTAGGCCTTTAAAACCAAGGATGGTTATCTTGTAGTTGGAGCTGGAAATAACCAACAGTTTGCTACCGTGTGTAAGGTAATCAGTAATCATTGCAGTGGTGATTCAGGCAAACATGCATTTTGTGCAAAGCCAGGGAAAGTCAGTTTTGCATAGGATAATGTTAAATCTAAACCAACTCAAGAGTCCAAGCTTTAGCACCTAAAAACTTGATGTTTTTATTCATGTAGCTGCTAAAGGTAGGAAATGAATTACCACTCTATTATATACTAATTGATATATTGGCTGTATTTGAAATGAAGTATCACAGTAGGTTAAGTTAGGCTAAAACTTTATTTATCCACCAATCCAAACAAAAGGAAAATAGAAAAAAGGTAATAATTTTAAAGGGATTTTTAACACCAGACTATTTTTCTTCCCTTTCCCTGTTCCCTCTTTCCTGCTTTTCTTCTCCCTACCCTCCCTGTCTTTATCTTGCTGGTTTTTTGTTCTCTATCTCTCTTCTCTTCTCCCTTCTTTATTAACAAGATATTTAATTTGGCTCAAATACAGTTAATCTACTATCAAATTTATTTACCACTAGAAAATTAGATTTTTTTTAAAACTCTGCTTAATGATTAGCTTTCTGTAAAATTCATGGTTAGGACTTCAGCAATTAAGATTATATTAAAAATGTTACTCTTGTAAACATCTTCAAAAAGTCCTGGGGGTCATTTAAAATTTTACATTGAAGCTTCTGTAAGTTTTTACAGTTGCTTAGACTTTTGAAAAGAAATTCAGTGTTTTAATATTTATCTAGATTTTTGGTCTTTTGATATCGTTTAAGGACATAGATTTCAATTCAGTTTTCTTAATTCTAATCCTAAGAGTATACTAGATTTTTTAAAACATGAATTAAGATTAAAAAATTGTTTTCCTATGTTTAGGCAAAGTTATCATCTGTTAAGGAGTTTTTGGTTTTCTGATTGTATCTGTCTGCTAGCTAGATATCTATCTATCTATCTATCTATCTATCTATCTATCTATCTATCTATCTATCTATCTATCTATCTATCGATCTATCCATCCATCCATCCATCCATCTATCTATCTGTCCATCCATATATCTACCTATCAATCATCTGTCTGTCTATCTGTCTATTAATTTATTGTACTAACCATACTACCATGAGCTTTTAGTTTTATTAAAATTGCCTGTGGTTCTTTAGAGGGACCTTATTTATTGTATTTAACTTATTATGTACAAAAATTATTTATTACTGTGCCTTTTTTGAGGGGGGGAGGAGGTTAACGAGCAGAACTAAAACCACAGCAAAGGGGTGGGAAGTACCATGAGGAAGGTGACAAATGGAGATAGTTCCGATTGCAAGAAGGGCTAGAACATCTGAGCTGGGAAAGAGGGAAGCTTTTATACTGGTGACTCTGAGTAAGTGTAGAGAAAATTGATTCAAACATTTGATCTGGGATCAAAGAATCTTTATTATGAACGGTCAATGTTAAAAATATGAAACATACGGAAGCTGTTGTCTGTGAAGTCATTTGCGTACTCTAGCTGCAGAGATATAAAAGCCAGTTCATTGCTATAAATGAATACAGATTTTCTTCTTGGCCCATATGTTTTAGAGTTTTCTCTCTCCAGAAAGTGTGTATGTGTTGGGGGTGTGGTGGGGGTGAAATTACTTATTGAGATATTCTTCACTGTTGAAAATGACTGTATTGAACTCTTTTATTTTTGATTATTACTGCTGATCAATTTGAAAATCTTAAACTTCCTCATAAATGTCTGTAAGAACATTTTTGAAAATATTTTTTAAATGAAAGCTAATATTTGCCGTAAGTTTTACTACCAACATATTACATAGTGTTATTACACATTTTTTTTAACAGGGAAACAATATAAGTCTTCTAGAATGACATGCTTGCCATTGTTTTCTCCATATGTGAGTTAGGAATGATAATCCATCCCTATTATGAGCCATTAAGGAAATGTCTGAAAAAACTCTTTGTGATCCTTAAAGAAAAAAATTGATGTGTATGGGATTTTTTTGTTAATTACATCATTTACCAGGTATCCAAACAAATGTCACAATCTGATTGAATTTTTTTTAATTATCATTAATACTCTTACATAGTTATTTTTCTAAAACTTCTTCACCTAAGAATAATCATATTTCCTTATTTTAAATTAAGGGTCTCATCCCATCCCAGATATAGTGAATATCTTCTACATTTTTTTGGTCAGATTTATCTATTAATGAGGGACTTGTCATTCAAGCTGACACTATAGAAGTTGGGATCCCCAATTTTTGATAGTGAGCCCATCAAAAATGTTCTTTTCCTAAGTAAGGTCCATAAAAAAAGATAAAGCTGCTCTACACCTAGTAGAAATGTGACTGTATTGTTTATGAATGAGTGGAATTTAATTATGCCTAATCTCTTTTGAAAATAGAATTTGATATATTGGTTGACTAATACTTCTTGGTGAGAGACCTTACTAGGGAGCTCTTATTGTGAGGGGTTAGAATGGAAGCAAGAACATTGTATTCAAGGCTTGGGGTTCCGGAAAATCTTCCTGCATATAAAGTAAACCTCGACATGTAACAAATCCCATTTTATGTTCCTTAACATGATACAGAAAAGTAGGGAACATGAGCATATGTAAGTTATTTTAAGTTGATTGGTGCCAACACTAATAGATATTCCTATTTGAAGTACATTGACATTCTTTTTTAAAGTCGTTTAGACTGAAGGTTTCTTTTCTTTGGAGGCAATGTGGATTGATTCTCCACTTTTGTGTGCATAAGAAATTTCCTTGAACTCCTTCCCAAATATGTTGATTTGGAATGTCTGAGGTAGGGCATAGGAAACTTTAATTTGAATAAGCACTGTAGTTGATTTTGGAGAAGGTGGTCTGAGGACTTCACAGCATAATTCTTAAGCATACAGTGATTTTTTTAACCAGTCAGACTTTTGGCAAGGTACTTAGTCTTTGCTAAATATCTATGTCCTCATCTGAAAGTGACGGTTATAATATAGAACTGTACTAACATAAATTTGAGGATTGTAAGAGCAAGATCAAATAAGAAAAGCAGATAGTGTTGCATGGCAATATGCACTCTATAAAATTTATGTGTAGAGATTCAGGTTCTGGGTAAGATGATGTAAACACACGTCTACCTATCTCTTCCTCTGAGCTCAGTGATCAAATCTGGACAAAAATGCTTGGATCATTTATTAGAGGGCCCTGAAAAGCAGGTAGTAGTAAGAGAACTGGAGAAAGAACACCAGAATTCAAAGTGTCTCCAAATGCATAATAAGGTTACCAGTTTTGTCCTTCAAATATTCTTTCATGAAGTTAATGGATCCTGAAAGCTGGAAGTGGGCACCATGAAACAGAGCTGAGCTTCAGGAGATGGATGTCCTTTATTCCTGACATGAGGAACATGAAAGTGAGCTCTAATGTTCAGAGACAGTGTGGAAATCCTCTTTTCACTCCTTTCTACTTTCTCATGTCCCAGTCCCTGTGCAAGCCTATGGTGTCAGCAACAGGTGAGCAGGAACCAAGCATCGAGGAAGGGGACTTTATTACTTAGCTATGATCACAACAGAGTGAAACCTTATTTCTTTTTTGCTAACTTCTTACTCCTTGGACTCTGCCCTCCAAGTATTCAGGGGAGTGGCTACCTAAAGGGGAGCTCCAGGGAACTGGAAAGAAAGTGAAGAGAAAGTTGAGCTTTGGAAAGTGATCCTTGATGTTGTTTGTGAACTCTTGTACTCACCCCTTGAGCTACACATTCACTGATAGGGCCCTAATCAGTACACCGAAGGAGTCGAAAACAAAGTTAACAATAGACATCAGCCCAGGCTTCAGCATGACCATTCACTGGGGCACATGTGGGACAGATTCACATTGCACTGCAAAGGCTTTGAAAACTGAACCAGTGCTAGAACCAAAGCAACAGAATGTGGATTGGGATTTGAAATGGGGACATATGCAGATGAACTACTTGCTAAAATCTAACAAAATTTTTCTTTGGAACTTAACAAGACCCGTAGGCTCATAAGATAATATCCAAAGTGCTGAGGTTACAATCTGAAATTATTCAGCATATGAAGAATCAGAACTTGTGTGAGAATAGGAAATTACTAAATGAGAATGTCAGGATGTCACAGATGTTGGAATTAACTCACAAAGACTTTAAAACAGATATAACAAAAATGCTCCAGCAAGCATCACAGGCACTGTTGAAACAAATGGGAGAATAGAAATGTTTGGTAAAGAAATAGAAGAACCAAGTGGAAATTTTGGAACTGAACAAGACAACAAAAATAAAACAAATACAAGCTCAAAGGAGACAACAGAGGACATAGTCAAGGAACTTGTAAGTAAATAGAATTTATTCACTGATAAACAATAGAGAGGGGGGAAAAAAGGATAGTTGCTCTCCTCCTGCCCCCATAAAAGAATTTTAGATGCATGAGGGACCATACTCCTAAATCTAACATTTTTGTCACTAGTCCCAGAAGGAGAAAAAGGGTACATGATGAAAACATTCTTGAAGTAATGACTGAAACTTGGTGAAAGTTAAAAAGCTACATACTTAGTAATTTCAGCAAACCCTAAATAGAATAATCCCAAATAAGTTCATGTCCCAAAACATTAAAATCTTACTACTGACAACTAAACAAAGAAATTCTGATAGCACCCAGAGAAAAGTGATATATTATCTAAGTGGAACAACAGCCAGCTGACTGCAGATTTCTTGTCAGAAACTACAGAACCCTGAGTGAAGTGGAACAGTGTTTAAAGGACTGAAACAAGTGTTAACCTGATTTCTGTATCTGGTAGATAGACCTGTAAAAAAGGAAGGTTAAGTAAAGACTCCCTCCCTCCCTCATGCCAACCCTCTTTCCCATCTTTCTTTTTTGAGCAAACACATGCTTTATTATTTTTGTTTGGGGGAATAGTGCCTAGTACCTAGTCCTAATATTTTACATTCATTTTGTGTGTAATATCTCAAACACTTTCACTTACATTGGTTTATTTTAACTCAGGTAACATTCTTTTACTAGCAGTTAAAGAATGGTTATAACAGTAGTTGAAACTGTCTCTTTAGAAACATTTTGAAGCTAAAGACGGAATGATGAAACGTTGATCCACTGTTTTACAGCAAGTATCAAAGAGAAAAGAGATCCAATCAAATTTAAAGATAGATGAGGTGACCTAGTTATCCTTTAGTGCAATCACGGAGCACATTTTTTACGTAGCTTATAGTGTATTTTAGGTAATGCTAGATTTATAAATTTAATCTGTGATTCAGTGAAGGCACTTACCTTTTCTTGAAATGACTTATTCACTCTTAGGGAGGTTTTGATTCCCGAACAAGCTGTGAGGCCAATTCTGGGATCAGGTGTGGTGACAGGGAGGTTTTTAGAAAGAGTACTGTATGTGGTGTTGCTTTTTAAAATCTGGGAGAGTAAGGCTGTCTTTATTATTCCTAAAGGAAATGAGTAAGTGAAACATATGAAAGAGAAATTACACTACTGAGATGGTCTCTTTACTCCAGGGAATTTTCTTCACTTTTCTCTTCTTTCTAAGATGATAAATGGATTGATTTTATTTAAACTGTGGGAAACAAATGAAACCATTAAATGTTTATATTTAAAGCAAATACATTAATAGAGGTAGTGAAGCTTTCTGTAGGCCACATGGTTTGCTCCAGCCCATAAATGCTCCTTCTGATTTTCCAACACAACTGCCAAGCACTGCCTCCACACATTCCTTTTGAACGTTCTTTCCCATTCCAAATTCACTTGGTACTTTCATTATGGTCTTGTTAAAATTGCAAGATGTCCAAAGGGACTTGCAAGATAGATTTTCCCTTTATTGAGGAGGAGCAAAAGAGGAAGTATATAAAAGCTTTTCTATTTGTTATTCCTTCAGGGAGACATACTAAAGAAAAATAGTGACAATTCTATAGGAAGAATATCTTTTAATGTGACATTGTTTTAATGGTAAGCATTTTGTGCAAATGTATATGCTTTTCCTTTATTTTAGCACCTAGTACAACATCCTGGATAGGACTACTGGGATAGATAATATTATTTTATTTACATGTGGAACAAATAAGTGAAAGTATCTACAAGATATATCTTGATTATGGACTTCATGTAAATGCAGTCGTGTGCTTGCAATATTGGTTCTCCAAATTAGGTCAGCTTTACCTTATTTTTACCTCTTCCTACTCCCTCCGGGCAGACTTATTGTGGGAATCTGATAATTCTTTTCCTATATTTTCATTAATGGGTACAAGACTCACTATGTGGGTCTGATAAATCTTTTTCTGTGCTTCCACATGTAGGCAAATATTTAACTGTGGTAAGAATTTCTTATACATGACACATCCAGTCAACAGCATGACCCATCCTAAGTGGATGATCCTTCACTCAAGATCTCTTTATTGAGAAGCTTGAAGACCAGTGAGAAAGGACTTAGGGAGGGAATGGCAGGCTCTGAACACTAGCATCCACAAGCAGAGAGACATAAGACTTGTACATTTTTTTTTTCTCTTTTAGATCTTGAACTTGCCTGAACTGATCGATAACCCCAATTATAAAAATAATCACCTTCGAGTACAGAATAGAAAAGGGCTTATTAAAATACTTTCTTCAAGGTAAGTTTGGATCTACTCTTTGTGTATTTAAGAATTATGCCATTAGTATTTATCTAGTGTTTTAAGGTTTCTTTCTGGCCTATTTAGATCAACTAGTAATTCCCTTTCATTTTACAAATTTGGGTATTATAAAGATATTTGAAAGCTATGTTTTTTCCCTTTATTTAAAAGCATCTTTATATCCTCTAAGTACTGAGTCATAACATTTTTTTTTTAAAGATTTACTTATTTATTCATACAGAACTGGGGTACAGGCCAGAGATGTGGAGGTTGAGACGATTCACCAGGGACAGAGTGGGGGGCAGAACAGGGAGATGGATGAAATACACTGCTGAGGGGAGCAGCGGGCAGGTCAGGAGAGGTCTCCCGTGCCATGTGGATCTCCTCCGGGGCAGGCGGGGATCGAACTCATGCGGAAGTGGTTTAAGCTTCTTAGTGCAGTACTTTAACCGGCTGCGCCACCAGGGAGGGCCCGAGTCATAACATTCTTATCAATAAGAAACTAACAATGACTTAAGTCCTTTATCTGTGGCATGTAAGCATTTCGGTTCAGTCTATTATAAATACTACTACCAACAATAATAATTTAATGTTATTTACCTTTACTATAATGATTGCTCTACATACATTCATGGTCTTATTTAACCTTTATAGTCATCTTGTAATGTAAGATCTAGTATTCCCATGTTTTAGACAAAGAAACTATGATAAAGCGAGGTTAAATTTGCTGGCTTGTGTGAGAGCCTCCTGGGTGGTTTGCTGATGATGTTTTGAAAATACTAGATTGAGTTATGGGCCATAAAGGACCATTATTAACCAGGTAAGAGTATTTGACTCCTAAATTACTCCTTTCAGGTCAGGTTACACTTGTGTTAAAATATACCAATTTTTCAAGTGTGTTCCAGAAAAAGAATTTACTCTTCCCTATACGTTTTGTTTTTGTTTATGTCTATCTACCCTAGTCTAGGGAAATGGACTTTGTGGTTTTCTCAGATAAATGCCCACCTGAGCTATTCTTCATTATAGAAAAATTGTTGTCATTTTGTCAGTAAGTGAAGTACTTTGTAAAATGCCATTTCAAAAGACCTCTTTTGCTAATGTGATTTTTACTTCTGTTCTTTTTACATTTGGGGATTTCTACATGAGTTCAAATTCTTTACCTATTTGCTTTTCCCTAGATTTTAAGCACTTCTCTCTATTGCCTGTATCTCCCCCACCTGCCAAATGTTCTTCAGTCAATGGGGGCTCTGTGTGGAACTAATATGCAGAGAATAGGGAAATGAGAATTGGGCTCCCCCTTCCTGGTCATTAGTTAAATATAACTCTGATTCTACAGCAAGGTCCAAGAGCCCTCAGTCATTAACCTTTCTCCACATGAGAATTGGCCATTTATTTCTGCTTTTTGCCTCTTTGCCTCTAAAGCAGTTTTTAATTCATTTCATTCATTGATAGGGCTTTTTCCTTTCATACCATGGTTACCAAGTTTCAATAATAGGCATTTGTGAGAACCTTATCAAAAGCTCTTTGATAGTCCAAATAAATCACATCCATGCTGTGAGAAGAGAATTCCAAGAAAAGTATAAAACCTAGGCAGATACAAATGTCACCTTGTTACTTAATTGCTGGTACTTTTATAATCTCAGGAATCACAGTGTTAAATTATTGGTTTCTGATGTCCTAGCACTTTTATTCCTTTCTGGATTCTGTTTAAGATTTCTTCTTTGGAAACAACTGTAGTAGCATCTGTTACATATTCACTTCCATTTTATTTCTTTGGGACTAATTAAATAATATACCACCCTTTCTTTCTACTTATATAACATAAAAGTGAGGATTCAATAATTTGAAAACTATTAGATTCTTAGGCCTCTACTCAGACTTAATAAGGAATACAGAATGAAATTACAAGGAAGACAGTAGGGCAGTCTTAAGTGAGAAAATTTAAAATAGGGGAGTCACATCATCATAGCTCCTGCTATTAAACAAAGGCCACAGAGAGAGCCCTTGATTGCCCAGAGGCCTTGTTCCATATTCTCTGTGCTAAGGTATTGATGTGTTTTGGTGCTCTCTGTGTTATGGAGTTCCTCAGTGTCTTCCAGCTCAAACATTTTCTCAATGGTGGATCCAGCCCTGATTACCAGGGGAGAACAAAGTATTATTCATTCCCACCTGCAACTTTCATTTGTTTTTCTGAAAAAAAAAAAAAAAAAAAAAAAAGCCACTGGATTCATTCATCATTTAAGGCTTGCTTTTAGAAGTCTCTGAAAGCATTTTAAAATTTATCATTTTTGGTTTGAGTCTATGTTTTTCCAGTATTTAAACTTTCCATGAGTATTAATTATGGGATTAAATCTGGTCTTTAGATACTATTGTATTTCATAATCTGATGTGACTTTTCCTTTCCACCTTTTCCCAATATAAAGTCCTTACTCTAGTCACATTCTCATTTGGTTTTGTTTGTTCTCTCTCTGAAATGTTTCCAGATATAACATTATTTTGTATAAATACCACATGCTAGCTGATATAACATTATTTTTAAATATATTTTTACTTTAAAGTTAGTTCTGCTTTTTCATGAACTCATTCTTGAACATTTCTACATTGGCCCCCATCAGAGGACAGAAGTTGGGAGGTGCCTTTTTTTTTGTGCTTAGTATCCAGCCTATTGGTTATCAAACACAGTCAACATTAGTTGTTTCCTGGAACAATATTACTAAAGGCCTTCTCAAAACATTGTTTCTTTCATTTTATAAAGATTGCAGAAATTGTGAATCACTTTCAGCCTGTTTCCTAACAACATGGCCACATTAGTTTCCAACCACAAAAAGGGAGGCAGAGAGAATGGAAGGAGAGGACTCTGCATTTATTAGATGTCACATACTTACCAGATAAGTATTATTATATTCCCTACTTTACAGATGACAGTTCTGAAGTATAAGGAGGTTAATCTCAAGATATTATAAATAGCTGGAAATGGGATTTAAAAGGTTGTACCTTTTCCATACACCATATTGCCTCCCTGAAATAGCACCTGTAGTATTTTTACATCTTTGATTATTTATTCACTCAATATGTGTGTGGGTGCTAGGGAAGTGAATGAAACTAAGTTAGTTGGAGAAAAATGATGCAGGGATTGGCAATGAGAACTGTCAAAAGTTACATATGAGTCTGCCTACCTCATTTAGACTAGTCATGGAGGGCCTGGGTAATGCTTGAGCAGAACCCTGAAGGAAATGAGAGTGAAAGATCACAATCAACTTGGAAGAAGTTTCCAGAAAACAGGTCCATGTTTGGCAGTTTGAGGAATGGCTTAAGGGACAGTGTACATGGAGCTTTAAGAGTAAGAGGAAGAGAAGGAAGAGGATAGGGATAGGTGGCAGGCAAATCATGTGAAAATTATGATTCTTTATGCTAAAGAGGTTTCTTAAATTTGTGAAATAAAGGAATTTTTTTAGTTATAAAGCAAATATGCTTATCATCACTTATTTGTTATCCAACCTGAAGAGACATCTTTTCCCCCATTGATTGTCAGATACAGCTGACGTTTAACTAATGATTGAATATTAGTTTAAAGTATACAGCATAAGTAAATTTGATATATCTTATATACGGTCATGCTTACTTCACAATAGTGAAACAAACTGATCATCTGCCATTAGGTAGTTTTGTCACTGTGTGAACCCAACACTGGATTTTGTATTCTTAGGAGCCATGATGAACAAATACACACAATTAAATTAAGCACAAAGGAAAATGATGAACTGTATGAGGTTGTGGTCTGCACAAAACTCTTAAGACGTCAATAGGCAATAGGAATTATGGGACTGCCTTCTTATCTGAGGCCTGTCATTGACTCAAACATCATTATAAGTACATACCTATATTGTGAAATGATTGCCACAGTAAATTTAGCTAAGATCCATTCCTTCATATGATTATGGAATTTTTTTTGTAGTGAAAATTTTTAATATCTACTGTCTAGCAGTTGTTAAATATACAATGCAATATTAATAATCATCATGCCACAGATGATATTACCAGAACTTATCTTCTGAGAGTTCGTACTTTCGATGTCCTTCATTCATGTCCTCCTCCCTGAAGAAATATCTTGAAGGACTGTTCTGATAAGAGTTTCAAATTTTCTAGCAACATGGAATCAGTAAAAGTTCTTTCCTGTTTTGGAGAGATTTGAGGAACTCAAGAGTTTCAATGGTAAATTCTCATTTATTTCAACCTCCAAACATATTTCAAACAAATATTTATTGAACACCTATTTACCAGTGACTATTCTGAGAGCTAGGAATACAGCATTAACAAATAAAAAGACATAAACCATGACCTCTGGGACTTTCATTATTCTCACAGACTTTCTTGAAAAGTTTATTTTTCTTTTTAAAATTTTTCTTTTAGAATTTTGAGAATTTTTCCATGAAAACATTTGTTTTGATAAGCTTAAGAAAATAGTTTTTCATTTAAATATTTGTTTTACAACATTGTTGTAGTGATAGATTATGCTTGTAAATAGTTTGTTGTTCTTTTGTCTTATTTTTAAACATGTTGACATAGATACTAACATTTTTAAAATGCATTTTCCCATTTGTTTCTAAAGTATGGTAAACAATGATTTAACCATGTTTTTGCTTGTTATCTGCTATTAAATATTACAACATAATGTTCTTTAATGCTTGTAGACACATTCTTCAATCTATATTTTTATGTTAGACAGCCTTTAAGACAATTAAAAAATGTAGTGGTACTGGTCAGATTGAATACACACTGCTGATAACCTAAAAAACAAGTTCTGAGGACGAAGGACTCCTCATCTTGGTGTTTTTTCTCTTCTTTCTTTCTTTTCTTTCTTTCTTTTCTTTCTTTCTTTCTTTCTTTCTTTCTTTCTTTCTTTCTTTCTTTCTTTCTTTCTTTCTTTCTTTCTTTCTT